GGTTTGGCAAACCCGAAGGGAAAAGTAATTCCGTCGACACTCTAGACGGCTATATAGTTCCCTCCATTTTAAGCAGTTACCTCTGAGCTGCGTGTTGTGGCTGTTTTGCAGCAAATGTCAGCATACGTGATTGGGATCAGTCAGTATCTGGTACGCTAATGTGAGATCGCCGCGCAGCCTTCGATAGCGTCCGCTGAAAATTCCCAGCAACTTCAGCCTTCGGTGGTAACAGTGATAGCGCAGGCCCTTCAGGTTCTTTGTTGCTCTTCGTTGAGGTGCCTCTAACGCTTCTAGGTCGCGCTTCAACCAAGGTTGCCAAGCTTGGATTACGTATTCAACATGCGGGCGTACGTAGGAATTGTGCATCATTGGGAAGATTGATGGGTCAAATCTCCCGAATGCCCTTTGCAGCATGCCGATGTGCTGATTGCATCTTTTTGCAGCTACCTCAGCCTGTTTTGAACATTTGAGGTCGCTCTGTACGATCACACCAAGGTCACGTTCCTGGGAGCTGGTCTGCAATCCGTTTGTCCAAAGCAAATAGGTGTAGTTATGTCTATGGCGTAATTGCACAACGCGATATTTGTCTACGTTGAATGGTAGCGCTTTTGGAACTGAGCAGTTCAACACCGCGTTAAGAGCGCACTGGAGCCGTTCGTGGTCGTCCGGTACACTGATCCTTCGCCCATATCTTGATATCATCAGCGAAAAATAGGGAATCAGAAGCAATTGATATTGCCAAATCGTTAATGAACACCAGGAATAGACGAGGTCCAAGAACCGAGCCTTGTGGTACTCCACACGCCACATCGATTGCGTCAGACAATGCTTCTCAGACTCTCACCACTAGCCGTCGTTGGTGTAGAAAATTGCTAAATGCCAGCGCCATAGTTCCGAAGCTTCTGAAGGAGGATTCGACGGTCTAAACTATCAAACGCTTTTGAGAAGTCCAGGTAGATGACATCGACTCATATTCCATCAACAACAGCTTCAGTCCAGCTATTACGTGCGATTAATAGGTTAGTATTACACGAATGCTTTTGACGAAAGCCATGTTGCTCTGGGGCTAATAAGCTGTGGCTTTCCAGATACTGCATCAGCGCATCTGCGATGATTGATGCTATCAATTTGGATAGTACGGGAAGTAGTATTATTGGACGGTATTTGGCAGGATCAGTGCGGTTGTATAGCGAACCAGTGAGCCAAGGGTTATCCCACCCAACAAAAGAAAGGTCGTTGTCCGATCGTGGACTCTGGATTGTGTGACTCCATGTACGGTGACGAGTAAGGTTTGCATTCCTTTAGGACATTGTGAGGACCGATTGTTTCGAAACTGAACGGGTATTGCAGAGGTACATATATGTTGTGCTTTGATTCCCATTTGCTTAGTACCGTAGTTAACGTCTCCACTTCCTTTCTTCGTTGGGCCGGGAGTTCCTACGTGTCACACGAATACCCCCAAAGGAATTTTTCGCTTGAGCCTTTATTTACTCCTGTTTTGCCCCCCCCTTTGTAAGCAGAGATGCATCCAAAAAGGAAGGCATGCTGTTTTCATAGTAAAACCCTAAGTGTCTGACTGCACACTGTCATCGTACCAACTATTGAGCACGTTTGTACGCGCGAGCTAATTAGTAGGACTAGCTGCATTCGACGACAAGGCATCTGCCTATTCCAGAAAACGTCTTCTCATTTTTGGCTAGATAGAGTACACATTTCACCTAACTATGCTTAGCTGAAATAAAGGCTTCATCGCGAGCTGAATATATCCCAATTGTCCAGCACCAATGGTTCTCTAGTCTAAAGCGAGGTACTGCATGTAGAAAGATCGTTCGCAGACTTAGGATCAATCTTCGTTCCCATTTGCATAGAAAACAGCCATATTTTTCGGTTTTAGCCATTATGCCGCAATATAAAATGATGGGCTACTAGACATTATGGATTACATAATCTAAAAAAACAAGTAATTTCATGTTGTATCATATTATACATCCGGTAAGATATTGTGGTTGTAGGGGGAAATAAGTGGGGGAGCTACACGGAAACTTACAACACAAAAACCACTGAGGTCGGTTCCTTGCCATGTCACACGTGTATCCAACCAAAGGGGATCATCGTTGTTGGGAATTCAGCCAGGCAGTCGGGAAACACCAATCGCGGCCTAATTCAAACTGAGGATGTTCATTTTCTTGACCAAGTCATCGCTTGTACTTCCCTCCACTTTCTCCATCCACACCCCAGGCACGCAAACAACGCACGATGCGGCAGTCAGTGTGCTGACATCCGCAACACGTGGCCTAGCCATCAGAGATCGTTGCTGTGCTGTTCACTCGCTCTTCCTGCACCAAATACACGACGCCGAACACGTTAATTGCCCACATGATGTTGCACCAAAAGTGAGCTCTGCTGTGAAGGCAGCGATGATCGTACGTTAATAGCCTCTTTATTTCTGTCGATTTGATGGACCAGGTTTTCCAACCATATAGCAGGATTGAAAAGACGCTTGCAATGTAGACTCTGACCTTCAGGGCGAGAGTGATGACGCACCGGCGTCATAGGTGGCGGAGATTGGCAAAAACGATCTCATCTTCCTTTCCACATGAGTTAATACAGCTGCCAAGAAATTTAATTTGGGAACGACTTCTAGCAGATACCCACCAAGCGTCCGCGCAGGGGTAGGTCCATGTCAGACTTGGAGAAGTACTTTGCATTTTGATGGTGCAAAGCATAGCTTGAAACGACTGACAGCCTGAGCTAATTTATTCTGTGCAGCTTGGCACATTCAGGATGGGTCAGAGAGTAGAGCAATGAAGTCGGCGTATTCCAAGAGAAGAATTCGGTCACCTTGGAGCGACCCCGCACCTCGCACTTTGTGTCCAGTGAAACACCGTATCAATGTATTCATCACTTGAGAAGTTGAAGAAACGTGACAGTAGGTAACCTTGTCTCACATCGCTGGAGGCATTGAAGGATGGTGACAGTTTGCCATAAACCCTCACTCTACCCGACCTATGCGCATACAGCGCTCTGATGATGTTCACGTATTCATGAGGCACACCTTTCCTGATCAGACACTTCCAAAGGGCACATCGATCCATCGAATGGAAGGCACGTCCGATGTCGAGCAACCCAACTACAGTAGACCGCCAATACACATAACGGTATTCCAACAACAGACCTAAAGTAAAAATGTGGCCAGTACAACCATAATTTCGGCGAAATCCGGCATGCTGCTCGCGGATCTGACTTTCATAGGTGCCAGCAAGTCTGTGAATAATGACAAACGCAAGTAATTTAGAAACATCTGAAAGAGAAATGAAGACATTTACATCGAAGTTGGCGTCGGTTGGTGCATCTCAACTGCCGGGCTGGAGCCCTAAGGACGATGAACACGTTTGGTTGGAGACACTTGCTGATATGGCTAGGAGCTGAGCCCAATGGCGTTGTGTTGTGAGTTCCTTTGTCCATCCCCTCCTGCTTAGCATCCCCTCCAATCACGATCTTATTCGCTAGGCATACCATAACTCTTTTACGGCACGACAGCCAGCTGTTAGCTCTCCGCAACGATGTCCATCCGCTACTGGTGGCTCAGCCTGCAAGCCATTGTTGTATTTTTTCTTCTCGTCTTTAGTATTGCGGCACAATATCTGAGGTGTTTTCCACCTGCAGCTAACGTGTATAATGATGATGATGATGATCTGAGAGCAGAATGATTTCGTTATGAATGTCGCATTCCGAACGAGGAGTCTTCTTGAAATTGGGACTATGACCGACCGGCTCCAGTCTGTTGGGACAGTCTCTTGCTTCCAAAGCTTCTCTAGTAAGTAGTGCGAATCCTCCACGATAGTTGATCGCCCGAATTTGAAGGCGGCTAAAGGTAGTCTAATTCATCCTGCAGTCCTACTCAATTACAACAGTTTGATATCATGTTCAACTTTAGTGCGCGAGGGCGGATCCATGCGGACGCCCCGGGAGAAGGGCAGTTAATGCCAATCAAGGGCATAGGTTAACTAAGGATGATTAAACTGTCTCACAAAGGGTTCAGCTCAACGATCCAAGCTTTCTGACAAGCTGTGCGTCGGCTGTCCACTATCGTCGCGTTTGGTTTCGCTAACACCAGGGCTTCTGCTGCCCGTTTCCCGTATCACACGGAATAACATCCAATGGTAACATGGGGCAGACGCTGTTTCTCTCTCTGATGCACGGCGAAACAACAAGCTTCCAAGTCTCTCTTCAAGTGAGCCCTGAGATCTACGAGTCTCATGTCTTTATGTTCCATGCGGAACATATCCATAAGCATCCAGAAGGTTAAAAAATGCCCTTAGTTTTTAGACTGGATACAGGACGCATAGCTGGAGACGTGAGTGGAGTAAAGCTAGTGGCCCGCTATCCGTCTGTGTGCATGGGCGTTCCGCGGTTGCTCGTGATCGGTAACTCTGCGAACGGATGCCACCAAGCACATTACCACATAACCACTGTGTCACACAGCCAGTAAATAAACCATGTCTGAGGCGGGGTATTTGATCACGGTTTCGGCATGGCTCGAGAGTGTCACGACAACAAAAACCATCTACAGTCAGGTTAATTTACGATGGCGTGGCGAATCGGAAAAGTTCGACCTTATTCAAAGTTAAGCAGCTAGTTCTTGTCCTACAAGCAGCAGATGGATTTGGCCACAGAAATTTAACTTGTGCCCTTGCGAGCTATAAGTAACAAGACCTATTAGCTCAGTTAATCTTGGATCGCTCGATCTCATAAAACTCAAGCACAGAAATCATAGGCACGAATGAAGAGCTAACCCTAGGTTTGTGTGGATTGAGGAGCCAAAACCAAATGGTAAGACACTACTTGGATTTACCAATTGTGATTCAATTTGCACACAAAGCGGTCTGACATCATACGAAAACGCACGGTGAGGGAAGTGACCGTGATGTTCAAAAGCTTGATCTTCGATAATATATCATTAATTTCTTACACAAAAGGGTAGAACCAGGCTAACTCACGTCGGTAGACTCTGTAGAATCGGATGTATTCCTCTTCCAATCGGGTTATCTGAAAGTGATTGCAATGAGGAAAAGTGGTAATTTCCTTGGCTCGCTATGTGACGAACAAACCCAAACAGTTGACTTTTATGCGGTTTACAGTTGATTCTAGTAATTTTAATGCTTTACAACAGAGGAACAAATACTGGGAGTGTTTGCTAGCCGAAGGTATGTCTGAAAGTGTGTGCAGAGTGACTAATTAATACACCGGGCAATGTTAGTGATCACTGCTTCCCAGTCCGATGTTGCTCCTCATGAACAATGAACGATGAACAATGAACAATGATTCAGTACGGGATAAAAGCAAGTGGTTGACACTTACCGTAGGATGGTTGGGGTGAATAAGATGAAATCAAAATATATGTGGGTTAACTACCGAACGTCTGCCTAGATGAGCACATTGATAAATAACATCAAAATTAAAAAAAATATCGAGCGTAAACGTTCAGAAAGACACTGGGGTGCAGTGATCGTTGATGTAAGGAGTGAGAAAAGTAAAATATGGTCGCTCACTTAGGTCCATTTGATACATAGATCCTGTGGAAAAGCATGCTTGGCGTAATCCACAATAGAGGAGTTTAGGTAACAAAATGCTGGGAGCTAAGAGCAACCTCTAATCGTTTGTTGAAAACGTCCAAGGTAGGAGAGGATACAATTGAGTCTGGAAGTGCGTTCCAGGGTTGGCAAACCCGAAGGGAAAAGTAATTCCGTCGACACTCTAGACGGCTATATAGTTCCTTCAATTTTAAGCAGTTACCTCTGAGCTGCGTGTTGTGGCTAAGCTTCAGCAAGTGGCGGCATACGTGGTTGGGGTCAAACAGTATCTGGTACGCTAATGTGAGATCGCCGCGCAGCCTTCGATAGCGTCCGCTGAAAATTCCCAGCAACTTCAGCCTTCGGTGGTGACAGGCGCAGGCCCTTCACATTCTTCGTTGCTCTTCGTTGAGGTGCATCTAACCCCTCTAGGTCGCGCTTCAACCAAGGTTGCCAAGCTTGGATTGCGTATTCAACATGCGGACGCATGCAGGAATTGTGCATCACTGGGAAGGTTGTTGGGTCAAATCTCGCGAATGCCCTTCGCCTCTTTTCGCAGCTACTTCGGCCTGTTTTGAGCAGTTGAGTTCCTTCCGTACGAGCACACCAAGGTTACCTTCATGGGAGCTAGTCTGCATATTTGAATGTAGCTTGAGAGTCAAAATTTTTATATGGGACGAAACATTAGGTGTGTGGATTACAGCAAACTTCGCATAAACACATCCAAAAGTACTAATAGGAAGGTCGTAACCAGTTATCCCACAGAATATTAATATAAAAATACCACCAAGTTAACCCACGGCTACCGAGTACCATTGCGTTAGTGGCAGTGTGATCCCCAGAACCACGATGGCAAGTGACGTCAGTGACTTGCCGAACATCACGCTAGTTTCAACAGGATCGAATTTGCAACTCATAGCCTCCACCGACATGCTATTTACTCATAGTGTAACAAGAGTCCAGACTACTTGTTTACAACAATGTTCCGGGACTGACGGTTGCAACGATGGCAAATACGCTTGGATTATTTTGGAGATCGAGTAGGCTTTAGGGCCACGTTTGTTTGGAAATCTTATTCCCAAAGACGCAACTTAAAGTTACACACCAATCAGTGTTAAAGGTCATTTGAGTAGTTTGTACAAGCCACTTAAAAGCAGAAAATGTTGGCTGAAGCGTCTAGGCACAGAAACAACTAAGCAGAAATCAGATTATGTAAACCTTGATAGCAATCCTCTCATACGCTACTAACCATGGAGGTGATTAGCTTGCGAGAACCTTGGTGATGCGGCTTTTAGTCGAAGGCTGACCGTCAAAGCATCCAGTTTCATTGGCTGTACCCACGGACGCCGCGGAATTTTCTGCTACCACGCACTGGATCCTGCTTTTTCTCTGGAATTACTGTATTTTACGTGTGTTGCTGTGTTAGTTGTGCACCAAACTTTTTAGTTTCGTGTGTTCATCAATCCGTGAAAGTTTCGTGGAATTCCGCTTGATATCTTCGGAGATCTCAGTGATTTACTGCTGTGCCCGTCATTTTGGAATTTGTGATCGACATCTTGCTTGTCCTCGTGCTTGAAAAAATACAACAACTATTCCGAATATCATGCAACGACGTATCTGCTCTTCAACTAATTGCGGCAAAGCCCTTAAAATGGGTATAACGTGCCGAAACTGCAGTGGCTCGTTCCACCCGAGCTGTATAGGAAAGTCCGCCCAAGAAGCAAGGCAAATAAACAAGGCTACTGACGCATTTTGGTTTTGTCCAACTTGCCAGTTAACTCCAGTGGTCGGTTGTTTATGTGCACTCATGGAAAGGTGCGATACTTTGAATGCGACAATCGCTTATTTGTTGAACGCCAGGCTTGCACCACCGGCCGCGAATATGGCCATGATTGTACCACAGTCGGTCAAAGAAAGCTCCACCTCGAGGCCGAAAAAAAGGGCTAGACGCTCAAGTCGCGCTGCAGCCTCAGTTTCTCCAAATCCCTTGCCTCACTCAACTCCCAAAAGCGGACGAACATCCAGAGTACTGATGTCCACACCTTTGAGTCACACGCCCCACCTCCATTCAACAGCAACCGCGGAAGCTCCGGGGCAAACCTCTTCCGCCGTAGAGAAAAGTCGGGCGTCATACGCCTCAGTCGCCTCAATGCATACACCGGCTAAATTACCTCCGACTCCGGTGGCCTCACCAAGCAACAGTAAGTTGACCAGACTCAAACAACCAAACAATCCGTTTAACACCGTGTCTTTAAGTCATGGCAAATCTGCATCCAACGCAAGGAGCCAAGGCGCGTTAACCGTTGTGTGTACAAATGTTCCTGAAGCACAGGCGAGTACAATAAAGGGGAAGCTGTTGGATGATCGTAATCAGTGGAAGTCTATATGTACTGCGATTGGCATTTCGGTTGAACCTGCAATGCTGAGACGAGTCACACGTCATCCAAATTCAGCGCACTACGGTGAACCCCGACTTCTCCGGGTGACACTAAACTCCATCAAGGACACAGAGGCAGTTCTACTATCGTCCAACAGGCTTTGTCATTCATCACTCGAGGCGCGTATACTTCCTGATATCCCCTGGAACGAACGTCCGAAAAAGATGAGCAACCGTGAAGAAGTTCGTAAAGCCGAGGCGAAACGGACGATAATTGTGTACGGGGTTCCTGAGCTCCAAAATTCAACCTCTGATGCAGCGGATGCACATGACCGGGAGCAATGGAGTTACATCCGCCACGAAATCTCCCTCAATAATATCATCGCTAAGCGGTTGACCAGGATTCCATTTTCACCCAACTACAAAGGGAACGGTCCCAGACTTATGAAGGTGGTGCTTCAATCTGAGTTTATGTTACCGCTCGCCTTGGAAAACTGGTCCAAATTCCGCATGAAGCTGCCAGCTGAAATTCGGTTAAAGGCATCAGGTACGCTGCCACGGATTACCAACGACTCACGGGGAGCGATCAAATTGTTGAACCATCCACTCATGCAACTTTTTGAAGGCATGGATTTATCAACAACCGCAATATCCCACGAAACACGGCTGAACACGGGGGACCAGCAGGGCCCGGAAGGCCGCGATCAGTCGTCTAACCGAAAGCAAACTCAAAGGCAAACGTCACCACAAAAAAACGGTTACTGGCCGACCCGTTAACGGTCGGCACAAACTCCATTTCTACCACAACCTGTGCTAGCTCACTCTTGGTTACAAAAGCACTATCCTGCATGTATACTAATGCACAAGGCCTCATAAGTAAGTTGGTAGAACTCCGTCACCGTTTGGCTTCGGAGCCTCGAGACATCATAACGATCACCGAAACCTGGCTGAGCGGCGAAATCACAGACGCTGAGATTGCCATACCGGGTATGTCACTTCTCCGGAACGACAGAACGGGCAAGGGCGGTGGCGTGCTCATTTATTTCCGAACGAACCTTCGTTGTGAGCTCATAGACGATCCCCAGACTTGTGTCACCGACGTCCTTTGGTGCAAACTGTGGTTGGAACGCAACGACGTATGCCTTCTCTCTGTGGTTTACCGACCACCGAAATCCACTCCGGAAAGGGACAACAGACTTATCTCCGCTTTTCGCTCCGTGCTTAATCAGAAGTACAGCCACATCCTCGTTGCAGGAGATTTCAACACCCATGACTTGGAAAATCCAGCATCCGAGACAGAGGTGTTCAAGGCATATTTGCAAGAGCTACTCTCTAGCACCTTCTTGTATAACCACGTCACCGTTCCAACCAGGTTCAGAACAGGAAACAACCCATCGATATTAGATCTAGTGCTCACTAACGAAGAGCTCATGGTCGATGGACTAATGGTGTGCAGTCCTTTGGGCCGTAGCGATCACGTGACTTTGCAGCTCGATTACATCTGCTACGCCAAATATCCAGTTGCGGAGCTCGAAACGAGGCAATCTGTTATCCATTACCACGTTCTGTCTGCCCTAGTTGAGAATACCAGTTGGACGTTTCTAGCTAACTGCACCCCAGAACTAGCCTGGGAGACATTTGCGAACACCATCACGTCACTAGTCATAGAAGCCTCAACACCAAAAGTTTCCCAACATCCCCGCACAGCGAAATCATTCTTGCGAAGTCGGACGCGACAATGCATGACTCTAAGGGATCGGGCATGGCGCACGTATAAAAGCAACCCCAGCGCAAAAAACTGGACGGAATACGTTTCGCATCGCAACTACTGTGTGCTTTTGGTTCGCGAAGACAAGAGAACGCATCAGCAGGAGCTAGCCAAACGATTCTGTTCGAACAAAAAGCTTCTTTACAAACAGGTGAATGGACTTCGCAAGGTGCAACGGGGAATCCCACCACTTAATACGACCAATGGGTATACACATACTGCGAAAGAGGCGGCCAACGCATTACGGGCCCAGTACTCCCCAATCTTCCGAGGTGTACAAGCCTCGACGTATATTCCGCCACTAGTTACCCCACCGCCCGTTTTATCCAACGTCACGTTCACTGCAGAAATGGTGCTGCAAAAGCTGCTATCCTTGCGTCCACACAGCTCTCCCGGGGCCGATAACATTCACCCGAAAACATTACAGGTAGCTGCCATCCACTTGGCCGAACCACTAGCTGCATTTTTTCAGCGCTGTTTCGATGAGAACATCGTACCTTGGAGGTGGAAACAAGGTGTAATAACGCCCATATACAAAGCAGGAAGTCGATCGGATCCTGTCAATTACCGCCCCGTAACGCTTCTGCCTGTGATCGCCAAAGTCATGGAAGCGGTGATAGCAGATGCGTTAATGGGATACTTGGAAAACTACGGCATAATTGCGCCAGAACAGCATGGGTTTCGTCAACATCGTTCATGTACGACGAATCTGCTGATAGCTCGTGACAACTGGACCGAGACTGTCGATGAGGGAACAGGAGTCGATGTTGCATTCTTGGACTTTTCGAAAGCCTTCGATCGCCTGGATCATCGAATCCTGCTCATTAAACTCCAACAGTACGGTATCGGAGACCCGTTGTTAGGATGGATCGGTAACTTTCTCTCTGAACGGCAGTTAGTAGTTAGAGTTCGATCATTCTTTTCCGATCCGATTCGAGTGGGATGCGGCGTACCGCAGGGTTTGGTACTTGGGCCTCGTTTGTTCCTGCTTTTCATTAACGATCTAGTAAGAGTTATTACGTCGAAATTCTTACTCTTCGCGGACGACCTCAAGGTTTGGCGGGCGATAAAACGATCGGACGACCATGAAGTCCTACAGCGTGACTTGAATGAGGCCTGGAATTGGTCGGTGAGAAACGCCCTGCCGTTTAATGTGGACAAATGTCGCGTTGTTCATATCCGCCATCGACAAGTCCACGTCTACAAGCTTGGGGCACACGATCTGAAGACCACCACTCAGGAACGCGACTTGGGTGTGCTGGTACAGGAAGACCTCGGGTGTTCCAAACAGTCAGATTCCGCTTCTAAAAGGGGCAACCAGCACGTTGGACTCCTGCGAAGAGCATTCGGAATTTTGGATCCATCCATCTTCTCTTTGATGCTGAATGCCTACGTGCGTCCTCACGTCGAATATGCAATCCAGGCCTGGCAACCCTGGCTAAAACGTGACCTTGCAGCGCTTGAGACTCCACAGCGTCGAGCAACGAAAATCGTCAAGGGCTTGCGCCACACTCCTTACGAGGAACCACTGGAGATACTCGGAGTGTTCAGCGGACGGTACCAGCGACTTCGTGGAGACCTCGTACTAGTGTACCAGATATTGAGCGATCCCAGTCACGTATGCCGCCACCTCTTGAAGCTCAGCCCGAACACTAACCTTCGCGGTAACAGTTTAAAGCTGAGCCAACAGTACAGTCGTCTAGACTGTCGGAAAACCTATTTCTCCCTCCGGGTCTGCGGGCCCTGGAACGCCCTTCCAAACTCAGTAGTTTGTGCCCCCACATTAGATACGTTTAAAAAACGATTGGACGTCGCACTGAGCGCCCTGCGCTTTGTTTTATGAACGAAAACGCTTGTATATATTTAGGCTGACCAGCCTCTTTGGATTTTTACCCCAAATTCACGGTCGTAAATCTGTACGAACCGGTGAGTACTCCATTTTTATTTGCTACCATCACCAACGATAACAATTTCTTAGCCAGTTTTGCGTCGTACCACTTTATCCCCCTAAAACTGTTATACTTCTACCTTTTATCTCACTGACACTCCTTACTTCAACCACTTATGTGGTTTGCCAATTTGTTAGTATTTCTATTGCCAACCTGCGGGACTCGTTAAGTGTATGCTTTTTTACCCGTCATATACCATTGTTCCATTGTACCAAATATACAATGGTTCGCCGTGGTACCAGCTGAGTGCTTCGGGTTTATTCTGATACAGCAAATAGTTCTGCGGCAGTGTTCCAGGATGTGATGGTCTCTCGCTTGGCAAGCCTTCTCCATACACAAACTACAAATGTCTGTGTATAAACACTGCGATGTTGCGAATGTGACACTCCACTGACTACACTTACTGTCCCTTTGCTTATCCGTATGACCATGTTCACTGCACAGGAGTCAGTCAGCCCTTCTCACACTGGCGACACGAAGTACTACAGTCAAAAGTGCAGCGTCAAATTTACAAATGCAAGCAACACAGCTACACGCAAATACACCAACATGCGTGTACATAAAATCCATTATGTTACTGGCGAACTTGTGATAGCTTTGTACCGTTTCCAATTGCTCATGCATGTGAAGGCGTGCCTCGCAATGTCGAGAACAAATTATCTATGTATCTATTCATCTTTGCCAACGGAAGAACGGTCCGCATGCATTGTGTCAATCCATATGCCAAATGCTGACCAACGAAGTGGTCGGGCAAAATTGATGTGAAACCCATGCCCCAGCGTTGACCTCGATATTTCCGTAAAAAAAGTCCCAGAATTCGGATGACAATTTGATGCCCACTTGGTCCATCACCCGGACAGTGCCGAGCCTAATATTGGTGTATCACACAGTGTTGTCAGCATTCTTTTGAATGCACTGAGGAAGGATTTACGTGGCTATCTATGCGGTCACGGTATTAAAGCGGTGCCGATGGGAGAGCGCGCTGATCGTCTGAAGACAGTTCAAATGTAACTCTTCATGTTGCGCAGCGGAGAATTTTGCCTCATGTATTCATGAAGAATAAGGAAGCTTAATCGACACTTGTTATTAAGGGATGAGTCACAGTATTGACTATGCAAGGTTAGGAAGAATGGAACTTGTAATAGTCCGCTTACCGTGCTGAGACGTCTCTGAAGCCGACTGAGAAATTCAGAAACCTGGAAAAGGAGTGGAGGAGTATACACCGAGTCAATGAGTTGACTTTCAGTGGTTAAGCCTAAGAAAAACGGAGGCACTTCAAATATTGCCCCGAATCCATTGCATCAAAGGGTCTTACATTCCCAATTTCAGTGTAAATGCAACAATGTACCGCGTTACCCGTTAAAATTTCATTATCTTGACCTGTATGGGGATAAATGGGCCCCATGCTGAGGCTGATGTTGCATTCTTGATGCTTCTTCACCACAGTTGGGCTAAACCAACTTACACTTAAACTAGGTCTTTTTAAGCTGGCCAAATTTCATTCCACTTTATTTGGTTTGTTCTGCCTGCCTGAATAATGTTTTATTAATTGGCCATGTTGCTTATGCTAACTGTGGTTATCTTCGTTAACTTTATTGCGTTTGTAGCATTTTTAAGTAACTTGTGGACATTTCTTACTTATGGCGGATTAGCTGCTAACCAACTTACTGCATACGCTAATTTAACGAAGAGTTATGCCACCGTATCTGTATGCATTATTTGATTTATTTTAATTCATCTTGTTGTTCCAAGTGATTGGCTGTTGCTTGATATCCCCGGTGTGGCTGCGCTTGATGTGCATGTTGACTAGGTGACTACCTGTCTATTACCCACTACATGGTTCATACTGGCTCCAGGAGACAGTTGGTCGTTGCTGGAGGGGACGGGGTGCACGGTCGTTGTGGCCGTGTTAGTACCAAAGAGTGGTTCCATGCACTCAGTGTGGAGCGGACTTCGGTCCAGCCACCGCCTCGTGTGTGCGCTTGATTCCCAAATACAGTGTGCTTGTGTTTCCTTGTGAAGGGGTGTGGGCCGGCTCCATTGATGAAACGTGGCTCCCATCCGCATGCCTCCCGGTCTTATTCCTTCGGGTTTACACTGGATATGGGGTGTGTGGTTGGAGCTGTGGGTGGTGCAGCGTAAGCCACCCATGGTCCCTCTGTAGGCGCAGGCGTCCTGTGGCTGGCCACAGTGACAGGCAAACCCGAAACCGGATGCCGCCAACCATGGGGATAAATGGGGCGTTAAACGGAACAAGGGCTTAAGTGCGGCGCATAACGTCTACGTGTGGCACTCAGATAAAATTGAATAGAATGATCCCGAGATGCTACTTTCGCGTATAGCTTTGACACTGCGACCCATCTATATGCGTTAATGTGATGCCACATTGACGATCCGGTGAACCGCCGGCATGGTTTTAAGTAAACTTACTCAAAATGCCATCACTCAGGACACGGTTCAGTAAGGTGAGCAATGCGAGTAGAAACCGATCAGGCTCGGCTAGCTAGTCAATGGTTGATTCAGTGCATGTCGTATGCTATGCAGCTCCAAGAGAATGTACAACTGCGTTAAGGTCCAGTAGTATGTGCGTAATAGGCAACCAGGATACGAGTCACAAAATGAACAAACCGACTCAATAACACAAAGAGAACGTTTTGAGATGGCAGTAAAATTGCAGAAACATCACTCAACAAGGCTTCGAATTAGGGCGAGCCACGGAACCTCCAGGATGGTGTTTACGAATGAGCGGAACTATTATTGATCAGAGTTAATACATATGATAGATATTCGTTGCCGTGGCAGGTAACTCCGCACCTCTTGTGTTCTCGCGGATGTTTTCCGAATTGAGATGGTTAGTGGACATGGGGTATCCTCTATTCGTCAAGGGCAGTTGCGTCATGTTGCTCGGTGGTATCCTGAGACCCAACCAGCCACGCACCACAGAGCTTGCGGTATGTATGGTGTGCAGCTGTGCACCCCTCCAACTGATGTGCGGTCTCCAATACCGAAGAAGTTTCATCAGGAATACACTCGGGCGTGTGGTTACCTCTAGAAGGACGCACTGCACCGTTCGGATGCAGCGGAATTATTTAGCATGGCGTCTATCCACCCTGATGTAATAACCAACTCGTCTAATGCATTAACTTATTTGGTCTAAAGCCCTGATTTTTGATCCGTGTCCCACGTTTCGTTAACTGGCACCCACTATCAAAAAGCAACGAAACAGAGTGAATCCCTAAAATAGTGGAAACTATTTCTCATCAAATCGTGAAGTTCTAATCTCCGTGGTATAAAAGGTTCCCCTTCTAAACTATCCACACGCTTCACGCGGTCACAGTTAACTGGGCTTCTACTGAAAAGAACGGTAAAGACCATAATAAGTTGGATTCTACTGATCTAACAGAATACACTGCAGCAAATTCTGCTCTCATTCAACTTTACAGGATGAGGTAGCTGAACAGATAGCCAAACCATCCAGCTCCGCTGGTAAGGCTTATGAGAGCCAAGGCTTCGCGTTCCCATTGTGAGATTTCAGGTGACGATACTGTCCAGGTTGCCTGAGATTAATTTAAGTCCTAGCACACAGAGGTCGCTACTCATTTCATCTCTGCCACAAGGAGAAACGAGACACGAGCACAGCTGCCCTGGATGGATTCCACTGGCAGGCATCTGCTCAAAAAGTGAGCGAAATGTTGGTGGACTTACAGAGAGGCTCCATCCACCGATACTCATGACAGGTACCGTAAGGTTAGAAATAGGTGTAAGCAACCCCTAAGGAATGCTCGGCTCAATTTCGAGAAAGGGTTAGCAGACGAAGCTTCAGAGAATCCAAAAAGATTTCTCGCATATGTCAAAAGGCGTTGCGGTTTGTACACGTCAATTTCAATGTTGATGCGTGGTGTCGGTACTCATGCTCATATGGACTATGACAAGGCCTGCGTAGTAAGTGGGAAAAATGCAGTAGCGTTTGTAAGGGAAACTTGTTTGACAGGCGTTGAGCTGGTTTGCAGAATCCCAGAGGCTTCGGGCCTATCCTGAGTTATTGTAGCGGAGACCGCTGGCTTGCCGAACAACTTCCTCATGGTGTCAACTGGGTGGTTCGGGTTTTTTTCCGTTCCAGCAAATGGTGCGGCGGCAGTGTTCCAGGATGTGATGGGTTCTCGCTTGCCAAGCGTTCTCCCTATAAAAAGCCAGATGTCTGTTTAAGAACACTGCGAGGTGGCGGATGTGACTCGCCACTAGATAAAGTCACTGCCCCTTGTCCCTCCTTGAGAGGCATTGTAACTCAACAGTGCGTTGGACCCCTGCTCCTTCACGGACAGAAAGGAGTATGAACCATCTATTTGGTCACTGGCTGCCAACGGCTTGCGACGCCTTCACATCGCCCTGCTGGCTTATAGGTTAGATCTTTGATCAAAAGCTCGGGGTAGGGCCCCCTAAGACAACTCTCTACTTCGGCCTGGACAACCGGGTAGTATCACGCCCACTGACGAATAACGGACCACACTGCTTACTAATGCTCCTGCTATGCATATCTTCTATGCCAACTCAACTGCTCAACCTCCACTCACAAATCGCCCCACCTCCCGTTCTTCACCTATATGTAGTCTTATGTCTTCTTCGGTCACCGTCACAAACGACCCACATTTCACATTTGATGGAAGTGAGAGACAAACGCCCGGTTTTCAGTGTCCTGCGATCGCAACCGCCTCTCCCTCCACTGAAGCTCAAGCTCTTCTTCGACCTTGTTCTCCATTCATCCTCGCAGCGTTTAATGTTTGAACTTTGATGCAGATGGGTCGACAAGCATGTCTGTTCCTAACTCTTGAAGTGTTCTCGGTAGACATCTGTTGCCTTTTAGAGATCAGATTACAAGATTTCGGCAAACTCTGACGCCAAATACCACCTACAGCTTTCCGGAGACCCAGAAGCTGCCGCCTCTGGCCAAGCTGGTGTTGGGGTTGCACTGAGTGCCAGGGCTGACACAGCTCTGCTCGACTGGATCCCAGTCAACAGTCGGTTATGTGCAATCAGACTACGGGGTTCATGTAATGCAAGCAGACGTCGAGAAGTTAAGCGCACCTTGTTTGTCGTCTCCGCCTGCGCCCCTACAGATTGCTGCCCGGATGACGTCAAGGATAGCTCTTACCAGCAGCTACATGAACTTCTGTGTTCTTCCAAAGTGGACTGATATAGTCATTCTTGCCGGGGACTTTAAAGCATGGGTTGGCCGCCTTCCACAAAGCGAGCACCACCTTGGGGGTAGTTTTGGTCACAGTAGCAGTCGATCAGACATTGGAGACAGACTACTTAATCTTTGCTCTGATCATCGCTTGTATCTTTCGAGCACTAGCTTTCGGCACCCGAGAAGACACACTGC